GCCTTCTAGCAGATCGACACTCCCCTCTGGTTTTCCTTCCTAGTTCTGGCCAGTTTGTCCCCCTAGTTCTGGCTGTTTCCAACCCCAGTTCCAGCCATTCCCCCCACCCCAATTCTGGCCAGTTTTTTCCCAGTTCTAGCTGGTTTTCCCACCCAATTCTGGCCAGTGTCTCCCTGCTAGTTCTGGCCTTTTTCTTCCTCCTCAGTTCTGGTCAGTTTCCCCCCAGTTCCAGCTGTTTTCCCCCATAGTTCGAGACATTTCCCCCACCTACTTCCAGGTATTTCCCCCCCGTCCCAGTTCTGGCTGTTTTTTCCTGCCTGTTCTGACCAATGTGTGCATGTTTGTGTCCCCAGTTCTGGCTATTTTCTCCCCCACCCCAGTTCAGTCACTTTTCCTCCCCAGTTCCAGACAGTTTTCCCCAATTCTTGCTCCCCATGCTCAGAGGCTGCCAGCCCTCCTCCAGTCTGTGGGGCAGGATGGCTGGAGGAGGCCTTGCTACATCCTCACTCCAGTGCTCCTCTCAGGAGACATTTCAGGTTGTGGCAAGCCCTCTCAGAGCTTTTCCATGTCCTGTTCCCAAGGATGCCATTCCTGGGCTCATGTCTCCCTGCTCCGTGAGGGTCTCACCCTTGAGCAATGCTGCCACTGTGGCATACACCAAGGTGGCTGTGGGATTTGGAACACATGGTAAGGGGTCTGCAGGAGGTACCCCCTCACCCAGCTCCCTCTGCATCCCCCAGACATCGAGGCCAAGTACACCAGGAAGATGCAGGCGCTGCGGGACGAGCTGGACCTGCGGAGGAAGACGGAGATCCACGAGGTGGAGGAGAGGAAGAACAGCCAGATCACCGAGCTGATGCGGAACCACGAGGCAGCTTTCAGCGACATCAAGAGCTACTACAAGGGTATCACTGCCCAAAACCTGACATGCATCAGCTTCCTGAAGGTACTGCCTGCTCCCATGTCACCCCTCCATCCAGGGACTGCTCCTGCCAGGATGTCACCTGGATCTGACAGCTCTCAGGTGTCAGTGTGGGTGCTGCTGGTGGGCTGTACACCATCACAGGGAGGGTTTCCCGAGGGTGTGAGGAGCTCTGAGGGCCTGGGCAGCTCCCAAGAACCAGCACTCATGTTCCCAAGAACAGAAGCAGGTGGAGGACATGAAGAAGGAGAGTGTCTTGAGTAAGAAGGCAGATGTGCTGCTCCAGAAGAAGCAGCTGGAGGAGCCGCTGCAGAAGGCCCAGGAGCAAGTGGCTGAGCTGCAGAAGAAATTGTCTCAATATGACAAGGACAAGGAGGCCCTGAAGGTGAGTGGCCAGCCCTGACCTTTCCCACCCTCTTTCCTGGAGGGAAAACAATGACCTGTGCTGGGGTCATAGGGGAAAGCAGGTCGTGTTCTGCTTAGCTGGGTGTTTGTGGGATCCAGTGAGAGACTAGAGCAGGCCCTGCTGCAGAGGGTTTGGTTTAGGTGCTACCTGTTTTTCTCTGCTGCTCACTCTCCTTCTTTCCCAGAACACATTCCCAACACTTCCCAGATAATCCCGTGCTCTTTAACCCTCCCTTCCTGCTCACAGAACACAAAAGCCTGTCTGAAAGTCATCCAGAAGGAGCTGAAGGACCTTCAGTGGGAACATGAGGTGCTGGAGCAGAGGTTCAGTAAGGTGAGAGCTGCAGGCAGGGCTGGGCATCCCATTCCAAACCCTCTCCAAACCCTCCACAAAGGACAGGGCGTGGGGGCTTAGCAGAGCAGAGCCTGTGCTTAGCCAAGGGCTTTCCAAAGCTAATCCAGAGCTGGGTGATAACGGCTGCTCCCAACAAAGCTGCTCCCAGCTCCAGCCTCTCCCACGGTCAGCAGACAGGCCTGGCCTTGTACTTTGCTAAGCAATCATGCACGCTCCAGCAGGGCCCCCCGGGGCGGCTGGGGGCTGCGTGGGGGTGAGCCTGGGGGTGATTGCCACAGGCCCCTCCTCCTGCCGGTGTTCCGGGGTCACTCCACTGCTTGTTGTTCCAGGACGAGTTGGGATGAGCCCTGCAGAGCAAGTTCTCCCCCCACTAACCCAGATAAATCTGTTGAGGCAGGAGAGAGCTCATTTGCAATTCGTAGAAATCCCTAGGAATATGAACATTGATCTGAGGCCTCGTTAACAATCCATCATTAAGACAGCACCAGTTTCGAGGTATTCAGAAATAGGCTTTGCAGGAGCGATTGTGTCCTAATTAGGACACTTATTAACTAGCTATGAGCCAGGGACTGCTGCCAGCTGTGGGGAGGAGAGGAGAGACCCCCATGTGCCTGAGGACCCTTGCTGGGGTCTGAATTAGTGCCACAAGGGTGTCCGGAGGGGAGGAGGAGGAGGAGGAGGAGAAGCGCAGGTGCTGCACTATGGAGGGAGAGAGGGAGGGAAGCTGTGCCGCAGCACCTGCCTTCGCTGCGGGCTGCAGGTGCCGTGGGGAACAGCCAGGCC